CTGAAGGTTGGTCACTCCTCTGGTCTCATTCAAATGAAGGTTTTGAGAGTTTTTAAAGAACTACTTCCTGTTTGGGTTCAGGTTCGAGCTCCCAGTCTGAGCGAAGCAGACCTCCTGAAGCCCCGGTCCACATTGGTCAGCTTCGTGTATCCGGCACAGAACCCAGACCTGATGAAGAGGCTGTCAGAGAGGCAGAGCACGGTTCTGGCCATGGACCAGGTCCCCAGAGTCACCATCGCTCAGGGCTATGATGCTCTCAGTTCCATGGCCAACATCGCAGGGTAACCAGGACCAGGACCAGAACCTGAACCTGATGGGGTCAGAAATGACTGCTGGGTTTTGTTTTGCAGATACAAAGCTGTGGTTCTGGCTGCCAATCACTTCGGTCGCTTCTTCACAGGTCAGATCACAGCTGCAGGAAAGGTTCCNGACCATGTTGGTTCTATCCTCTGGACCATGTTGGTTCTGTCCTCTGGACTAGGTGTTGGTTCTGTCCTCTGGACCATGTGGGTCTGTCCTCTGGACCATGTTGGTTCTGTCCTCTGGACCATGTTGGTTCTGTCCTCTGGACCATGTTGGTTCTGTCCTCTGGACTATGTGCTGGTTCTGTCCTCTGGACCATGTTGGTTCTGTCCTCAGGTCCTGGTCATTGGCGGCGGGGTGGCGGGTCTAGCAGCAGCGGGAGCAGCTAAGTCCATGGGGGCCATCGTGAGAGGATTTGACACCAGGTAGGACATGAAGCAGAAACTCTTTGATTCTGGTGGTCCTGATGGAGACCGGACCTTGTGTTCCCCACTCAGACCTGCGGCTCTGGAGCAGTTCAAGTCGTTTGGGGCGGAGCCTCTGGAGGTGGACATCAAAGAGTCCGGTGAGGGGGTYGGAGGTTACGCCAAAGAGATGTCCAAAGAGTTCATCGAGGCAGAGATGGACCTTTTCTCCCGGCAGTGCAGAGAGGTGGACATCATCATCAGCACCGCTCTGATCCCAGGTCCAGAACCAGAACCAGATGTTTGAACAGAGATCATGTACTAAAGGCTGGATCTGGAGCTGGACCCTCGGGTCCTCGCAGCCTTCATGGTTTCAGAGTCCAGTTCTGGTCAGAAAGCTCAGTTCAGGTTCYGGGTCTTATTTGGACCTGTCTSTCTCCGTCCTGCAGGGAGACGAGCTCCWGTTCTGATCAAGAAGGAGTTTGTTGAGTCCATGAAGGATGGTTCTGTGGTGGTGGACCTGGCTGCTGAGGCCGGGGGGAACATCGAGACCACCAGACCTGGAGAGCTGCACGTCCACAAGGTGAGCTCCTGATTGGTTAACGAGGTCTTTTCACCTGCAGGGAGGTGGTCCTAACCATGTGTTTCTGGTCAGGGCGTGACCCACGTGGGCTACACGGACCTCCCGAGCCGGATGGCCACCCAGGCCAGTACCCTGTACTCCAACAACATCCTGAAGCTCCTGAAGGCCATCAGTCCAGACAAGGAGGTCTTCCACTACGAGCCCACCGAGGACTTCGACTACGGAACCATAGACCACGTGATCCGAGGGACTCTGGTCATGAAGGTCCGTTTTCACACTCAGCAGGATCTGTCACCTCTCATCAGGCCGAGAACCCGGACCAGCTGGGACTGGATCAGACCGGATCTCAGATTGTTAGAAACATTTCACGATCGAATTTCTGAGGAATTCAGTTTTTGACACGTTGTTTGTCTGAGTGAAAGCAGCTTCTCACAGAACATCTGTCAGCCTCCTGGGATCAATGTTGTTCCAGCAGGAACTGAGTTTGACTTTATCAGACTGAATCTGAATGTGCAGAATTTGAAATTAAATGCATTTATTTGAAAATAAATTTCACTAAACTGAAACTGAATTTAAAGTTTTGTAT